GTCGGGGGTGTTGGCGGCGGCTGGAAACGTGGAGCGTGGGTGGAAAACTGGGTGGCGCTAGGTAGGACTACGTTTGCCAGTGTCAGGAAGAGAAGGAGAGTAGTGTAACGAGAAAGCGAGAGGTACAAAAGTGGAGAGGACGCGGAGGAGGAGATGGGAAAGGAAAGAGAAGGGGGAGGGAGTGAACCAGCGATTGAGTGAGCGACGGAGAGAAAGAGGGGGACAGAGGCAAAAACGCCCGCAGGAAGAATGGGGAGGCCTCCGACGCGGCTGTCGCGGCCCCAGGGCCGCGTATCGACCACCCCAAACTCTGATCCTCTTCTCAACATTCGCGACGGCATGGGCACCGATATGACTTCCAGCCGTTTCCACCTATACATGCATATATCTTGAGGTTCATTTTGTGGGTCTTGATCTCTTTCTTCTTTCATCGTTATCATCATTATCATCATCGTCGTCGCCGTTGTCGTCGTCATCACCATCATCACCACCACCATCATCATCATCATCATCATCATCATTATCATTCTTTCACACTTTATCTCATTCGCTAAATGCAAAGAAAGCTTCAGAAAGCAAGGATATGTATAATCCGGTTGAAATATTCACGAATGTTCTCAGGCTTGACGAGATATGAGAATTCATGCTATCGATTGAAAGGTAATCGAACTTTTACGTCGGATGTATGTACGGCGATTACCGACAATAGCATCATCTTGACATGAAAATGCAACTTGCACTCGCAACGATTGTGACAGGACAATTTTAGAAGCGGTCTCTGCAAATAATCTTTCGATGCTAGAGTCGCTTTCCCGTAACTCGACGATTTAAAATTGGCGATGTCAAAGTTGCAAACCGATAGCCTATGTAAGTACAAAGATTCGGTTATTGTATTGCAAGCGAACGCAAAAGATGCATTTGTTCGCGGTTTAATTAAACGAATAAAGAAGGAAAGAAGCGTTTAAAAAGGTGTGATGCTTTAACAAACGATAAAAGCAGCGGCGATGA